CGTGGTGGGGGTGACAGGTTTGACGTCGACGGTGGCCAGCTGAACTAAGCCTCGAAATGTTCAGACCATTGATCAAAACGCCATTGCTGATGATGAATAATTATAATATTATAATAATTATATAACACACCTAAGTGTGATTAACAGTAGATGGAGCGAACCCCCTTAGTCACGAGGACCAGCTGTTCACTGATGTAAATCAGTAGCCTAAGCCCCGGGACTTGGAGTGGCGAACCACATAAGGCCCCGATAGGTTAGGTGTGGTATAGGTGTGCCACAGGATTCCCAAATCACCTCACGCCCATTTTTCTTGCTCCCGTATTCCTAATTAGACTATTACCAACAGCCGCAGTTTTCTCCATCCCTCTAAGCTTTCTTGCCCACCACTTCTCGCGGTCATTCCTCAGACTCCTGATGAAATGGCGTTTAAAAGACTTACGCGTTGCCATGTGTCATATAGCTTTAGGAGGGAGGGTTCCGCGTGCATCCAGCAGGGCAGTCGAAGTCAACGAAATCCATCGTTTGTGCTCAGAGCCTGCGACAAAGTCCACTTTTGTTAATCAATATTTGCATATTTTCCTTGCTTTGCTTTCAGTGTTTATCGAGCCCTTCGGCTGGTGGTTCAACTGATAAGCGATCGGACAGCTCCGTTTCGAAGGTCTATTTGCAACTACGGCTGACATTGACTGTGGGTAACCGTTGTCGGTCGATTTACTGCTTTTGTTTGCCAGGTGTAAGGAGAATTTTGCTCGTAACAATGCGTGGTTTATGGTCCACGGTTGTTAACCAGTGAGAGCCGTAGTCTTGAATTGATCCCATCCATCGGTAACTGATGGCTATGTGGTCGATTTGAGTCCACCACTGTGAAGAGGTTGGCGGTTTTCATGTAAGGCGGCGTCGTTTCTTGTGAGAAGTTAGCGCTCGACAGGAACAATCCGTGGTCCGCGCAACATTGAAGTAGGCCATCTCCGTTGTTTTTCCGGTCGGCTGGAATTGCATTTGGACTACCAAGAAGCTTTTCTGATTCGTACAGGGGTCCCATTTGATCATTGAATTCTCCGGCAACTAACAATACGTCCGTTGATCGAACATTTTGGAGCGATTGAGAAATATCCTTGTAGAATTCATTTATTTCAGTTTCAGTTTCTGCAGCCATTGTTCTTGCATTCCCATGCGCCGGTTTTGGTTGCTGTCTTTTTGTTGTCCATTTCGATAAAAGAACAGAGCCAAAGTGGGGATGGAGAATTCATATAGACTGGGGTTGCAATAATACTGAGTAGACGCACGGGCGGCACTGTTTGCGACATCCAGTCATGTCATTCATTGCCTCTAGCCACTAGTTGCCGTGGTCTCGGGGTCCCCATCCAAGGAGCCTAACGGTACCTATGTGACCCAGTGTCCCAACCAGGATTTTCATGCCTTCATGGCAAGTCTTAGTCTGACCGCAGCAAACACCGATACGACGCTTTGTGCTGTAGCTGTTGATCTGCACTAAACTGTTGAGACGTACGGCGCATAGTCGGTTACTGACTTTCAGTGCTGAACTGAAACGGTTCCTAAGGGAGGACCGAGAGACCTGGTGGGCGCAAATTGATTCCAAAATCAATATAGCCTCTTCTTCCGGTAATGCTCACAAACTTTGTCGACTAATCGGCTTCAGACGCTAATACAACGGTGACAACTACAATGGTTTGGTCACACACTTCGTAAGTCTTATAACGACCTAACCAAAGCTGCCTTGGTACCGCCTCCTTACCCGAACTGGCACTGTCGACACGGTGGGCAGCTGAAAACCTGGCTCGACACGGTATGAAATGATACAGAAAACCTTCGATATTCGCCAACGGAAGTCAAGCTAGATCACAATCTGCGCTGATCTTGCCACAGACCACCGAACGTGGGCAGCGGCAATTCGGAATATCCATGAAGCCGGCTTATCCTCTCCCAGGAGTCGGCCGCCGTAAAGTAAAGTACTAATCGGAGCCACCGGTAACAAAAAATCAATGCGTCAGTGAAACCATCATCAACATCATTGTACAGCATAATACAGAGAAGCGAACTTCACTGGTCGCTGCCAAACTCATATTGCATACAAGGTAAGTGAT